GGGGGGGGGGGGGTGTCCCAACGAACAAAACGTGCGGTCATGGGTGTAGTGTGTGTCGGTTTATGGAAAGCGGGAAGAAGTGTTTATCGCATGCTGAGCTGGGTGCGAGTAGGGCTCATGCTGCCGTTCACCATCTCGGGCGGGATGGAGCCGGGCCTTCGACCCGTCTGGCTTCGCAGGCTGGCGGTGTGTTTCTCGAGCTCGACCGTGGTCCTGCGCCAGTTCTCCATGTGCTTGTCCGCCTGGCTCTTGTACTTCTCCAGCGTCTGCTGCAGGCTGTTGATCATACTCTCGTCTACGCCCGCCTCGTGGATCAGAGACTCGTACGCCGCAGCCAGCTGGTCGTACTTGAGCTCGCTCTCGTCCAGCCCGGCTTGCAGGTCGCGGATCTGCGTCACGAGCTGCGTCATGTGCGCCTGGCTCTGACGCTGCTGCGCCACGGACTCCTGGTACGCCCGAGTGACCTCGCCCAGCTTCGCCTCGAGCTCGCCATTGGATGCGCTCGAACTGCTGCTGCTCCCGTTGCTCGCACTGTGCAGCGTGTGGCCGTTGGTCTTCTTGGCCTCGTTGCCGTAGACGTAGTAGCTGCTGGACCCGCGCGCGGGCGGAACGGCAGCCGAAACCTTGGTAGGCATCTTGTGCGAACGCAGCAGATCGCTCTTGGCTGCAATGTCCTGTTCCAGCTCCTCGTGGCCACGACGAAGCTCGTCAAGGATCTGATGACGCAGACCGTCCGATGGACCGCCGGTGACTTGTGGCGATCCATGACCGGCAAGGATCAGTTCCTCGAGGTTCGTCATGGTGGTGCTGCGTGCGATCTGCGAATTCTTGAGCTGGCGCTCGAGCTCCTGGATGTGCTGCTCATACTGGCGACGCGTTCGGCTCACCATCTCGTCGGCCTGCAGATCTTTGCGACGTGCATTGGACAGTGCCTCGTCGCGCTGCTGCTGCGCCTGACGCAGCGAGTTGGTGAGCTCGGCAACCTTGTCCTCCAGCTTCTTGAGCGACTTGGTATCGCCATTGGACGAGGGAGCCACATTGCCATACGTGGTGACAGCGCCTCGAAGCCCGTTGCTGAGGTTGGGCGAAGGTGCTGTCGCAGCACCACCATTGCCTCGCTGAAGTCGCGTGAGCTCGCGTGTCAAGTCCTCATTCTCGTTCACGAGACGGGTCTTGCTCTTCTCGAGCGTCTTGGTGTAGTGTGCAAGCTCCTGCAGCTTGGCCTGTGCATCTTGTAGCTGGCGGTCGGTGTACTTTTTGGCCTCTTCAAGCACGTGAACATGCTCGACAATGGTCTTGTTCTGCATGGACTGCAGCTTGCGCACCTCTTGCTGCGACAGCGTCAGCTCGTGCTTCAGTCCGCTGAGCTCCTTGTCCTTGCCAGCCACGAGCTGCTGCAGACTGTTGGCGTTGCGCTCGGCTTGTTTGTGGGCCTGCTCAAGCAACTCGCGTCGCTTGGACTCGGCGCTGAGCTCAGTTGCGACCTGATCAGTCTTGAGCTTCCAGCCCGCCTCGCGACGCTCGAGCTCCAGCAGCGCATCCTCCAAGTCCTGGTGCTTGACTGTAGATGCCTGCAGCTGCTTCTCGAGCGTGTCCTTGTTCTTCAAAGCGTCTTGGAGACCTCGGTTGATGACGGCCGACTTGCTTTGGGCTTCCTGTAGCAAGGCCTCCGCCTCGTGCCGGGCCTTTTCGGTAGCAGCAACCTTGGCATCGGCATCACGAACACGAGCCTCAGCGGCGCGCACTTGCTCTTCGGCGTCTTTGCGGGCAGAGCCATGTGACTGGGCCTCCTTCTGAGCAGCAGAGATCTCGGCTCGCAGCGCAGAGATCTGCTCAAGGCTCGAGTGCTTGGTCTCGGACAGCTCCTTCTGGACACTGGCCATCTGCTCGCGCAAGGTCTGGAGCTCTTGCTCTTTCATGCGGTGCAGCTCTTTGGTCTTGACGTCCTCGGAGCTCTTGGCTTCCATCAAGCGTCGAGTCTCGTCGAGCTCTTTCTGCAAGGCGGCCTTGGCCTGGTTGATGGTGGCCTGCTCGTCCTTGGCCGACTTGAGGTCAAAGCCGAACGTGTCGATCTTGACGCTGAGGTCGGCGACCTGCTTTGTGAGCGCCTCACGTTCGCGGGCGAGGTCCGACGCCTGCTTCTGCAGAGCCTGAACCTCCTGCTCCTTGTCCTTGAGCTTTGTCTCGTGGCCAGCCGCGACGCGCTGCAGCTCGGAAAGCTGGTAGGTCGACTGCCGAGTCTGGTCTTCGAGCTGAACGGCACGCTGTTGCTCCTGCTCGCGGCCCTTGGCCTCGGCCACAAGCTTGGCTTCGACCTCCTGGACAGCAGCGAGCATTCGCTTCTGAGCCCGGTCGAGGTCCTGCTCCTTCTCCTGTAGCTTTCGCTGCCAGTCCTCCTTTTCAGCCATGTGGGCCTGGCGTTCGGAACGGAACTGCTCTGCGTTGGTGGTGTGCTTGCTGAGATCGCGCATGAAGGTGTCTTCCTTGTCCTTCCATGCCTTCTGCTCAGCTTCAAGACGCAAAAGATGCTCGGCAGCCTGGTCGAAAGCGGCTTTGAGTTCTGCATGCGCTTGCTCCGTTGCCTTCTGGGTCGCGATTGCCTTCTCGAGCTGGCCTTCGAGCAAGTCGACATCGCCCTGTAGGGCCGCCAGGTCTTCCTCGAGTGCGGCTTCGCGCTCTTTGGATCGGGCGAGCAGCTGGTCCTTGTCGAGGAGCAGGGTACGTTCCGACTCGAGCTGCTCTTCGATCTTGCGCTTCTCAGCCTCGAGCTGGAACTTCAAAGCTTCGAGGGCTTCGCGCTCCTTTTGGTCGCGTTCAGCCCTCTCTGTGACCATAGCGAGCTCGAGCTGCTTGCGTTTGAGCTCCTCGTCATGCCTTGTGGCGGTGAGCAAAGGACGCACGCGAGTGTAGAGTTGCCACCAGGGCCATTCGCGGAGCTCGACGTAGAGACGTGCGTTACGCTGCACTGTTCGGACCGCTGCAGCACGATTGAGGATCTTCTTCATCTGGCGGCGCGCCGTGTACATGCGGCAGGCAGCGCCGAAGCGGCTGAAGATGTCGTAGAGGTGCGAGTCACGACGCTCCTCCATCTCTGCAAGAACGCCTGCCTTGAAGAAGATCTTGGAAGTGCCAATCTTGAATGTGGACTTGTCTAACTCGAGGGACTCGACCATCCTCTGGCATGCCTTGCGGCCGTCCATGTAGCCCGGAGGAATGATACCGGGCGTGAGGACCTCGTAGCGGTTTCTGAACTCGGAGAAGAGGAGACGGTTTGGATAACCAAGACGCGCGATTCGGATGCCTTCCAGCACACCGTTGCATCGGAGCTGCTCGAGCACGAGCGGAACATCCATCTTGCCAGGCTTCTTCTCCGGGTTCGGCACGATGCATCGGACGAAGTGTGGCTGGGTGGACGAGAGCTGACCCATGAGCGAGTTGAGCTGTTCCTTGTGCCTCTGACCGACGGTGCGGAAGGCACCACGCTTGACTCGACGCTTGGGGGCAGTGGCCAGTGAGGTCTCTTCGTCCACCTCGGCGTACTCGGCAAAGAGGGTGGCGACGAAGCGATCGGTGGACTCGGACATGACGCGGGTGAGGTTATCGTTGAGCGGGTCCTTGTTCTTGTCGACCCATCCGTCTGTGCGGTAGTCGACATCGCCGGCGTAATGCTTGACGGTGAAGCCTTGCGCGAAACGGGTCGGGGCAAACTTGGTGGAGCCGTGAGCGAGGCCCTTCTCGGCTGCGAGTGCAGCGCCTGCGGCATCCATGGCGGTGCCGTCCCTGTTGGTGCCCCAGATGCGGTTGAGCTTTTCGGTAAAGGTGACGTCGGTGGCCCTGGGCATGATGCACTCTTCATCGAGGCACGAGAGAATGCCGATGGGAGTGGTGGACTCGATGAGATCAATGGTGGGCTGGAGATCGAGGCCAAAGTTGACAAAGTCCCACTCGATGTTCTCGCGCGCGTACTCTTCCTGCTCGAGCACGAACATGTGGTGGTTGAAGAACTGCTGGAGCTTCTCGTTGGTGTAGTTGATGCAGAGCTGCTCGAAGCTGTTGACCTCGAAGATCTCGAAGCCGGCAATGTCGAGGACGCCGATGAAGCTGCTCTTGCTGGTGGGACGGTCGAGGGCCTTGTTGATGCGGTCTACAAGCCAGCCGAATGCCTTCTCGTAAAGCGTCTTGCTGAGCGCGGCCATCTCTTCCGAGACCTGTCGCATGGTGCGGGAGGAAGTCACCCACTCGCGGCCGGCCTTGACACGCGGGCGAAGGAGGGCATTGGTGAACTCCTGTTGGGGCAGGCCGAGGACGTGACAGATCTTCTCGACCTGGGGCATGTTGGTGATGCGGGCCTGTTCGGAGCGGTCGGTTGCGAGCTGAAGGTTGCCAATCTGGAGGATGGCGGCAGCGATCCTGAAGAGGTTGAGCTGCTCATCCGGGGAGAAGCCGACGGTGTCAAGCGCCTCGCGCAAGAGCTTCCACTCTGCGCGATCGTCAACGCCCTCGACGTCCTTGCGGGTGCCCTTGAGATAGGCGTAGTCATCGGGGGAGCTTGAAAGTAGGAGCTTCTGCTTGAGCTCGGCTTCGCCTCCCCGAAGGAGCTGGTAGAAGATGTGGAAGCTTCGCTCGTTCTCGCTGCGGATGGCGACTCTGCTCTTTTCGAGGAGGTACCAGTCGATGTTGGCGCCTGCGATTGCGCCGACGGAAGTGAACTCGATGCGGACAAACTTGCCGAAACGACTCGAGTTGTTGTTGCGGATGGTCTGTGCATTTCCGAAGGCTTCGAGGATGGGGTTGGCCTGGAGGATCTGGCGCTCAAGAAGGCCAAGGCGTTTTGTCGAGACGGGCGCGACACCGTTGATGCGATCGAGAACTTCTCGGGAGGAGGATGGCGTGAGGGTGCTGGCTGGCGACTGGGTGCCGTTGGCGGTTGGGTCGGCGGCGATGGCGGCGAGGTACTGGATGACCTTCTTTGTGTTCTCGGTCTTACCGGCGCCGGACTCTCCGGTGATGAGGAGACTCTGGTTTTCGCGGTTGTCGATCATGTTGCGCATGGCCTCGTCGGCGAGGGCAAAGACGTGGGGAGCGTTCTCCTCGCGTCTGCGCCCCTTGTATGCGGCGACGATGGCGTCTGTGTAGATGGGGAGGGTATGGTAGGGGTTGACCGCGACGAGGAAGAGACCGGAGTAGGTGTAAATGAGAGAGCTAAAGTAGCGTTGCCGCAAGTTGTGCACCACACTGGCCTCGTTGAGGAAGGTAAGGTCGGCGATGTCCTCGACCTTGTCGAACTTGGGCGGGTTCATCTTGCTGAGCTCAAAGGTGGGTACGGCGCGGTTGGATCCGTCTTGCAAGGCGCAGACGGAGGTTTCGCCGCCGTCTTGCTCCTTGATGACCCAGCCGGAGACATAGCCGAGGGCAGGGTCTGGGATCCAGACATACTTCTTGGAAGCGAACTCGGCGGCGGAAGCCGCATCAGAAGCAGACTGGCCGACGCCGCGGGAAGGGCGAGGCATGGCTGCAGCTAGCTGTGCGGCATTGCTTGCGTCTGCAGAGGGAGAGGAACGATGTGATGGACGGAAGAGATGCGACTTTGTGCGCACCACGTCGACCATGTTGGGTGGTGTTGTGAGAGGCGTGAGTCCGCCTTCTAGCTGGTGTAGGGCGTGGTCGTGTTTATTGGGCTGCAATCTTTGCTGTAGCACTCGAACAAGGATAGCAAGGACTGTAGAGAAGCGAGACGAATGCTGCGTTGAAAGTAGATGAAAGCAGCAGCGAAGGTCTTGCTTGGCGGGTGCGAAACGATTGCGAGGGAGTGCTTGATGTGAACGAGACGAGAAAGGGAATGGCCACGCTTGTGCAGGTGGAAGATGCTGTTGTGGGAGCAAGCAGTGATGGTTGGGAGCAAGGAGGGTGGGCGGTAGCAGGCTACGGTCCGTCGCACAACCCTTTGGCGTGGCGCGGCCCGCTCGAACCTCTCCACCTCGACGCCCGCTTGAGAGCGAGCGAGTGAATCTCCAAGGCGGCCTGCAGCGGCTGCAGCTCGCAGTTGGAGCGTAGAACAACACTTAGCCCGCCCGCCCGCCCGCCTGCTGCT